CAAACACGAAGCGTTGGAGAAAGATGGCGCCGCCACAGGTCCTGCGGGGGTCGCGCGCGGTCCCGGCGCCGCAGTCGCTGCAGCTGCTCGGCGGGCGCCGGCAGGAGAAGAACCAGCCCGAGCCGCCCCCGAAGCGCGAGCCCGGGGACGAACTCCGCTCGGAGACGCCGAGCCAGCCGAGGGAGAAGGCCCGGAGCCTCCGTCGTGCTCCCAGGCAGCTGGCCGAGCTCCCTGCTGATCTGAAGATACAAGAAAGGTATGAGCTCACCTGGAAGAAGCTGAAGGTTGAAGGCTTAGACAAAGATGGGGAAAAGGAAGCAAGATTTGGATGCAACTTCAGCGTCATCGTGGCCAAGCGCGGTCTGGACGGGAGGAAGGACGCTCGGCAGGTGGACAGCAACTCCCACAGAGCTGGCTCCCAGGACGACACGCTGGACGACCTGGGCTGGAGAGACTGCGGCACAAGGGAAGCCCTCTGGGAAATTCTCCAGCGAAGAGCTGGGCAGCTTATGCATCACAAAGAGAAAGCTCAAGAATATAACGTCCTGCTGGAAACCCTGAGCAGAACCGAAGACATGCACGAGAACGTCATCGGTCCCTCCGACCCGAGCTCCAGCCAGGGCAAGGTCCTGCGCAGCGGGCACGGGGCGGGAGGAGCCGCCGCGCAGCACCAGCCAGGGCCTGGGCCGTCAGCGGAGGCAGCCACCGGGGCTGCGACGCGGAGGCTGAGTTCGAGGAAGCCCGAGGGAGTGATCTGTGAGACCTGGCCAAGTCAGCCAACCTTCCTGAGAAGGAGCCGGTGTCATTTCGGGAGGAGCTTAAGCATTTCGAAGCCAAAATTGGAAAGCACAATCGCTACCACAAGCAGCTGGAGACTTCCCACGAGAAGCCGGACCACGAGGAGAGCACGGCGACCGGGAGCACAGCGCCCGCAGCAAGGAGAACCACGCGCTGCTGGAGGGCAGGTCCAAGGAGCTGGGCTACGTGGTACAGCAGCATTTGCAGGATCTGTCCAGAAGAATGTTGAAAGTTCGGCACAATGATCTCTGAAGGCATTGGAAGGCCGGCCTGTTAGGAGGAGAGCAGTGTGAAGGCGGGCCGGGGGGTTAGGCAGCGGTATTTACGTGGACAGCCCACCGCGAAGGTGCCGGCGCTGGCCACAGATGTCCCGCCAGGAAGGACTGTTTTAAACGACTGTCCAGCAGCTGCCGAGGCCGCGTCTTGGATCCATCATCAGTCCCCTCTCTGGCGGATGGGGCTCCGTTTCCTCTCACGTGAGGTGGCGGTCACACTCCAGTGAGGACCCTGATGTCCAGGTACCTGCCAATCCTCTGCCGCAACACAGTTTGCATCACAAATCTTATACATCTGTGCCACTGGAAATATTATGTACGAAGTCCTTAAAAATAAATGCAGTATTTAAACCAATAAATAAATAAATAAATGAAACATGAAATGTTGAAGGAAATGACAGAGTAATGTGGATGACAGTTTGTTTCTTCTGAGAAGAAAAGCACATGCTTGTTATAGAACTAGAGAAATTGCAATGTTACAGACAGTCAACCATGGAAGAAAAGGATAACAGGATCTGAAAAAGAGATGGGAAAAAAACTCTTTAAATTAGAAAATACACACACACATCAAGAGAAGACATATCTGAGAACATGTTTGTGAAGCACTCAGAATCCATAGACTGGCTGATTGCTGTCTGTATCCCTATGTAGTAAGTCAGTTTACATACTAGATTAGACAGCTCTTACATAAATTCTCAAATCTCATAAAAAAATTACAGGGCATATAAAGAAGGTAGGGATTAAAGGCATATGAATGGGAACAGAAGAGATCAAACTCTCACTATTTGCTGATGACATGATATTATATCTAGAAAACCCCATGGATTCAACCAAGAGGCTCCTGGAATTGATAAATGAATTCAGTAAAGTCTCAGGATATAAAATCAATA